TAGAATCAAAATGAATCCAAGATTTACAGTAAGATGGTTCCATTTGCCATAGCTTGCCTCTAAAACCTTCATGACTGATGCATAGACCTTTGAACAGGCTATCCATCTCGTAAGTTGATCTAGAATCATAGTTTTTAAAATCAGGTCCAGGTTATTTATACCAGTAATAAGAGAATATGAAAACTAGTATTTTAAAAATCTCATTCTTTTAAAGTTTTTCAATATGTGTATTTGTTTTCAAAGAACATGTGCTATGTACAGTAGCATAGGCCTATAATTCATGCATATATACGGGAACACATGCCCAAAAAGTCTTTTACTGCAAATAATTTGCAACTTAAAAGTTAGTGATATATGATGTAGAATGAGCTATCGTGCCTCCCTCAAAAGAGATGTAGACCATGAATCCTGTCTCATGGCACAATCACCCCAACCCGAACTCATTCATCCAGCCCCCTCCTCCTCCTCCTATCTACTTGGCAGGCATTCAGGGATTCTTCTCATGGTGTAGGCAACAGTGAGAAAGTGGAACAAATCTCACTGCTACAAAATATTCTGGACAAAGCAGAAAAATATGGTGAAAAGAAGGCCACACTGACATCAAAACTTTTATCTCAACTCCCTGATGCTTGAGTAACTTTAGACAAATGATTTAAGTTTTTCAATTCTCAGTTTTCCAAACTGTAAAATAAGGATGGTTTACTTCACAATTAATGTAAAAATACACATAGCATGACTTAAGTCTACTAACCACACGTCTCTTTTTGTGAGGATTTCACATGATAGTAATATGTATAATACCGATGCAAAATATGTCTAAAAATAAAACTAAAAAATGTATGCACAGCAGTAAAAGCCTTCAAGCACTCAATACATCACAGGCCTTACACATTTTGGTTGTTTATTTCTCCTCTCAGTTAAAAAGAAATGCTGTCTTACTCAGGCCCAGGCAATAGTGACTTCCTGGGAACTCCCCAAATCAACTATAATGTTCCCTCTCCCTGACACAAGGATGGGCAATGTCCTGGGATTTGGGGATCACCACTGGATACTTGGGTCGAGGAAAAAGAAGAAGAGTTCCTACTACCAGGTCACTGCTGCAGCTTATCAATGACCATAGGACAGAGTATACCCACAGTGAAGATGAGAAAGAAAGCTTAGAACCAAGAAAGTGCGAAGCACTCTGTAAAAATTCAATAGAAGTTGAAAGTTTCCCAAGGATACCAGCAGAGAAAAGTAAAACAAGACAGAAAGAGGGATAGCAGCCAATAAATGAGGCAGGACATGGAATCATTTGTTCTTCATAATAAACTGAGATGCTGAGTCTATTATAGAGCCTTAAAAATCCAAAGGGTTGAAAGATCCAGAAACAATCAAGACTTGGCAAAAGTATCCAGAGAAGCACTGAAATCCTGAGCACACACAGGTCAGCACCATATGTATTGGAGGGACACTCAACCCTGATTTCAGAGAATATTTAGGGAGGGCACAGCTAGTGCCACTTTGGAAAAAGAGAACATGAAGAAAGGATGTAGGAAAGAAGAAAGATATGGTACCATGCTTTCCATAAATAGTAGAAAAAGCTTTTCAGAAAATTCCTGGTATAACAACAATTCCATGAATTCTTCAGATTCTGATAAAGCAAAATATTTTATAAGAGAACATGTGTCTATGTGCCCTCTGTATGTTCTCCTTGGAGAAATGTCTGTTCAAGTCCTTTGCCCATTTTGTAATTGGATTGTTTTTCTTCCTGGTGTGAAGTTGTGTGAGTTCTCTGATGAGATCAAACCTTTATCCGAGATATCACTGGCAATTAAATTTTCCCATACAGTTTGTTCCCTTTTCACTTTGCTGATGTTTTCTTTAGCCGTGCAGAAGCTTCTTGTTTTGTTGAAGTCCCATTTGTTTATTCTTTCCTTTATGACCCTTGCTCTAGGGGACGTATTGGTGCATGGAATATCTGAGATTTTCCTGCCTATGTTCTCCCCTGGTACTTCTATGGTGTCATGACTTACATTTAAGTCTTTTATCCATCCTGACTTTATTTTTGTGTATGGTGTAATTTGGTGGTCAAGTTTCATTTTTTTGAATGTAGCTGTCCAGATCTCCCAACACCATCTGTTAAAGAGGCTATTTTTACTCCATTTTATCACTAGCCATCAGAGATATGCAAATTAAAACAACAATGAACTACCACTTCACACCGGTCAGAATGGCTAGCATAAACAAATCAACAAACAATAAATGCTGGTGAGGTTGTGGAGAAAAGGGAACCTTAGTACATTGTTGGTGGGAATGCAGACTGATACAGCCACTGTGGAAAACTTTGGAATTTCATCAAAAAACTAAAAATGGAACTGCCTTTTGACCTGGCAATTCCACTGCTAGGATTATACCCTAAGAATCCTGAAACACCAATTCAAAAGAACATATGCACCCCAATGTTCATAGAAGCACAATTTACAATAGCCAAGTAGCAGAAACAACTGAAGTGCCAAACAGTAAATAAAAAAACTGTGGTACATTTACACAATGGAATACTACGCACCAGAGAGAAAGAAAGAGCTACTACCCTTTGCATCAGCATGGATGGAACCAGAGAGTATTATGCTAAATGAAATAAGCCAGGAGGTGAAAGACAAATACCATATGATCTCACCTATAAGTGGAACCTAATCAACAAAACAAACAAACAAGAAAAATATAACCAGAGACATTGAAATAAAGAACTGACAGTAACTAGAGGGGAGGAGGGAGTGGGATAAAGGGGAGAAGTAGGGAAAGAGTTGTCAAGGAACATGTATAAAGGACCCATGGACAAAGCCAAAGGAGGGAAGGATTGAGGGTGGGAGGTGGGGGTAGGTGGAATAGGGGAAATTGGTGGCAAGAAAATGGAGACAACTATACTTGAACAACAATAAAAAAAATGCAAAAAGAAAAAGAAGACAGCCCTGGCTGGTGTGGCTCAGTGGACTGAGTGTCAGCCTGTGAACCAAAGGGTTGCTGGTTCAATTCCCAGTCAGGGCACATGCTTGAGTTCTGGGCCAGGTCCCTTGTAAGTGGCGTATGAAAGGTAACCACACATTAATGTTTCTCTACCTCTCTTCCCTTCTGTCTAAAAATAAATAAATAAAATCTTAAAAAAAAGGGAAGACATAAACATTATAAACATATATGCACCCAACATGGGAGCACCCCAAAAAAAGAACAGAGAGTGCATATCTGTGTATATTTATTCATTTAATAGTATTTTATTTATTATATTAATTATAACATTAATTATATCAACATATTAATCATTACTATGCTTATCACAAATTTGTTTATATATTTGCTACATAAGTTCATATTCCTATGTTTATATTTAATAATATTAAAATAATTTAATAATATTAAAATAGACTCTACTAAGGAAGGAGAGGAAGGGCACAGGACTGAACACCCCCACATTTAGAGAATGGAAAGGGGAAGAATGGATAATACCTAAACTGTGAAAAACCATCCAATTAAGGCAAGAAAAAACATAGGAACATGTGACCCAGAAACCAAGAGAAGAAATCATTCCAAGAAGAAGGAAATAGTCAATTGTGTCAAATGCTGCTGAGGCACAGGACAAAATAGCAGATATTATTGGAAAACAATGACTACTGGATTTTAAAAATCGTAGATATTAGTGATCTAAATATGCAGCAGAAGGTTGGGATAGAAATCCTACTGGCATGGGCTAAAGAGACAAAGGGAAGTGAGAAAGTACAGAATGAGCGAAGGCATGCTCCTACTGTGATGGGAAAGAGAAGTGGGGTAGTAACTAAAGGAGGCTATGTGGCTGGTTTGAGATGGGCCATCTTTTGGGCTCCCACCTGGGTGGTTAAATGGGCTGAATTCAGGGCCCAACCTGTAACCTGAAACTGCGCTATGCCTCTTGCTTTCTTCCCCCCAACCCCCCAACCCCTGCCCTGGCACACCGCTGTTTGTGCTGTGGTGCTTCCAGGAAGCTACAGAGGTGGAGTACTTTCTCCTTTAGACAAAGCCATAAAAATGTGGCAACTTTGCTAAGCCAATTCTAACCGCTTCTCCCTCCTATGTCACTAATGGCTTTGCTTTAATATTTTCAAACATATAATGCATATAGTCTACATCAGTGTTCCTCACATGTAGATGTTATACACCTTATTTTAAAAAGATAACAATTTTGCAGGGATTATAGTTAGAAAATTAGTTCAGCTTTTAAGCAGGAGCAAACAAAGAACTTAGAAATAAGATTGTGCTTCAGGAATTAAGCTAACAGGTCAATATGGGGATCTGGGCAAATAAAAATGGGCATCTTGGATGTGGACCAGCTACCAGGGCCAACAGGCCTTGACTGGATCCATGGGGAGGTACTAACTTATTAAACATATTTAAAGAATATGTACTTCAATAGGAAGATTGGTGAATCTCAAAGTTGTAAAAAAAAAAAAAAAAAAAAAAGAGAGAGAGAGAGAGAGAGAAAGAAAAAGGAAAGTCAGCACTTCATATGTTGTATATACCCACTGAAGCTCTAGGAGTAGTTAAGTCAATAGGCCATCTGGCAGATAGGAATCTATTATGGACACATGGATACCAGGCTATCTGTGGCTAACAGGGGACACATTCCATTCACATAATTCTCTTCCTTCTAAAGGGGTAGCTCCCCCACCAATTCCCAGAGCTCTTAGCCACAGGAGAGAACATGGCTCCGGGATTATGCCCATACCGGTGCCATTTGACAGTGGTCATCAAGTAATAACCACTTTCATCTAATAATAACACCTTTATTAATCAATGGCCACTGACAAATTTCTGAGCCCACAAATGTTGGAATTCACCAAGGTAAACACTATTGAATGGGAGTCATCATAGGTAACACCCTTGCCTTCTCTGAGTGATTAAAACAACTGGACATATTTGCGCGCATGCGTGCAAGCGTGCGTGCGTGTGTGCGTGCGTGTGTGTGTGTGTGTGTGTGTGTGTGTGTTTACCTTTTCGCCATCTCTCCCTGGTTCTCCTTTGTAACCTGGTAGTCCTCGTGCTCCCTAAATTAACCGCAAAATAAAATTCTGTTAATTATGGTTTCTTGGTTCACTAGAAATGCTATTTCTAAAACGTGCATAAGCAGATCACATACTTGTATTCCTGGGGATCCTGGAACACCTGGTGATCCTGGGATTCCCTGATATCCCTAAAGAAAAGTAAACAAGAAACAATCAACATTTCATCACACTCACAAAGAACAGCCCTGCGTTTCAGGATTCACTCCTGTCTCAAGTTTCTTACAGGGAAGACTTCACTTAGTTTAAGAAAGCAAAATAACAAAGTGTTGAATGCTTAATAGGAAATTCACATCCTTCAGCCTTTGGGAAAAGAAGGTCTTAAATATCTCTAGGTTAATAAAAATATCCAGAAATGTTTCAATAAAAGGATGGCTCCTGGGATCACAATATCAAGCCAATGTTCACAGCTCCTAAAGAAATGCACTACATGTTAGAAACATATGCAACATACTAGGAGGAAAACACCTAAAACTTCAGGGTTAAACAAATATAATACATTTTAAATGACTGATTAATAGCCATCCAATTTAATCCCTAGAATAAATTAAAACTTGATGAATGTTATCCTTCAGAGTGAGTCTGTAACAGCCTCCGGATTGCTCGTTTTAGAAAGCCGCGTTAGCCCCAAGGGCTTGGCTGTGCCGTGCTCCCCGACCTCCCAAGGTGGACCTGCCTGCTGGGGCCACGGTCACTCTCATCCCCGCTGCTCCTTACACACGCCTCCAGAAACTGGGCCCTTGATAAAACAGCATGTCTTTTTCAGACAGGAGGAAACTAATCATCCTTCACTCAGCACATATCAACTGAATTCCAAAACACACTTGAAGGCCCTGACCATTTATCTAGGTTTCTCAGGGTCAATGTCAGGTTTACTTGGACCACCTGAAACCTGCAAACACACACATTTTGTCCTCTCTTATTCAGGCTCCATCTTTCTCAGATCTTACTGCTTGGGTACAGCTTTCTGTTTGTCAATAGTATCAATGCAGATCTCATTAATGTTTCAATCACATTTTCATTCTTAAATCCAAGAGCTTAACTTCCATGTGGCTACTCAATGGTCTTTGTATTCACCCAGTCAGTTGTCAGCACCTATTTAGATGCAGTTTTAGAGACATCATATTTCCATGCTTTTCCAGTCCCATTTTCAAATTTTTTTTTTTTTACTGCTCTTTGCTAACTCTAATAACAACAATGACAACAGCAGTAGTGGTTGTCTCTAAAAGATCAGTCACAGATCACAGTTTTTCTCATTTTACATGCACTTGCATTTCTTATTTTGCAAAATGCCGTGCGTTACTCTCAGAATGATGATCCGTATAAGTTTCAATTACTAACCACCATCCTTTCCTTTATACCCCATTCCCCTTCACAGAATGTATCATTACACTTCATTCAGCATTCCTCAAACTCAGATTTTCCTCTTGAGCCCCTTCGCCCAGTCCTTAAACATTTTACTTGACCAGCTGAATGAGTTTCATAACCAACCTTTCCCTGATCCATACAAAACAATCAGCAATTTTCATAAATGCTGCACGCTCTCTGGGCTGGCACTGTCTCTGTGTCCCTGGATTATGTGCCCCCTTGAGATAAGGAACCAAGTTTGATTCATTTTTCTATTTCCAGCATTGAACACAGCATTTGGCACATTTTCTTTTAATCGAACACTGGAAGAAATTACTTTCAAGTCATCCACATGGCACATAAGAGTGAATTATTTCTTTCTCCATGGAACCATGTTATGTTTTCGCTCTTTCCATTAGAAAATTGAAACTTTTAGTAATACCATGTGACTCATGTCTTCAAGATTAGTCAGAAGAAAGAAAAAAGTTAATCTACACAGAATTTGCTCAGCTTTATATCTGTACCACAGTAGTTATCACTGAATCTCCTTCCCTCACCACTTTGGAATCAGATAGGTTGGGAGTTGAATTTCAATTCTATCCCTGTGAGCACATGCCCAAACAGAGCTGGGTTACTTACAAATGTTACCACGTAGGATGTCCTTTCAGATCCTCAAAACCTTCCATACACTCCCTGGATAGCCTGATATGATTTACAATAAATAGGCTGTTGTAATTGGGAGAAATAATAATAGCAATGGTTTATATACTTGTCATGTTCCAGACTAGTTAATTCATTTAACCTTCACAACCATCCTTTAGTGTAGGTTCTACCCTGTCTCCATTTTAAATGACAGCACCAAAGCACAGAGATTAAGTAACTTGCCTGGAGTTACATAGATAGTAAACTGACAGAGCCAGTGGAACCACCCTCCATCACAAAATGTTTCATATAACATCAGATTTTATGATCCTAGAATGATTAATCAGAGTCAAAGAAATCCATTTAACCAGATTATTTTTACATTGGTTAGGATTCTGAGTGCCCAGGAGCCTCCTTGGGCACTCAGAATCCCCAAATCCTGAGTTAACACAATGAAGTGAAAAAGACAATGAATATGGAAGTTGAAAAAGGCCTTGGGCTGAATTTTTTGCTCCTCCCTTTCTATGTGATATTGACTAGGCCACTTTGCCTAGACAAACCTCATTTTTTTTTTAAACTATAAAACAATACCCACTTTACTTCAGAAAAGAAACAAATGCTATCGTAAGTGAAAATGCCTGGCAGATGTTAGGATCTCAATAAATGTAACTTACTTTCTTTTCTTCAGACCAATGACTATTGTACAAAACTATTAGAACACTTCTGCAGAATGTTATACTGTAGGCTTAACAGCCACCATTGATGCATAAAGAATGACAGGTCCAGTCATCATCATCACTTAACAATTTTTCAACAATCACACATATCTAATCCTGAACGTGAACAAGGCTTCAGTGTATTTTTTTTTATTGATTTCAAAGAGAGGAAGAGAGAGATTTATAATTCCACTTATTCATGCATTCTTTGGTTGATTCCTGTATGTGCCCTGACCAGAGAGCAAACGCACAACCTGGTATATCAGGACGACACTCCAACCAATGGAGCTACCCAGCCAGGTCCAAGGCTTCAGTGTACTTTACAATGGCTCTGTTGGTTTTGACTTTGAAGATGTGTAATACAGGAATAATAAATGTTTCCCACAATACTAGAACCAAGCTATTATTGTTCTTTTTTTACTCAACATACAATGAGATGAGGTATTGAAAACTTAGTTGTATAAAGAAATTTATAGACTATTTTAGAAGCTAGAGGAAGCATGATTTGTAATAAAATAAAAAAGAAAACCACATCCAAGGTGGGGAATCCCAGGGCAAATTACCAGAATAAATTGGGTGAAATTCATAAAAACAAATTTTGGACTTACAACGAGGAAAATAAAGGTTAACAGGGAGGAATTTTATAACAAAAATTTCCAAGAGGAGCAAGAAATAAAACGTTGGTTGACTCATAGCCAGGCTCACTAAAACAAGAAAAATGATAAGATTTTCTAATAGCTTACTGAGTTTTTATTTTTCTAAATATACAAGTTTCTGTGGGGTTTTTTTTTTTGTACAACTATAACCTTCACATGATATTTGACTGCTTAATTCTTGTCAACATTAATTTTACCATTTTGCAATTACTAGCAGGTCCAAATATCCACACTACTTCCATCTGCAAAACTTCTGACAGTATTTAACATTTTCCCATGTTCAAAAAATTTTCTTTGTAAATGAGTCATGTTATAGGAAAAAAATATTCTCACTGCCAGATTGTAGGGTTGAAGTATACAGAGTCAATTTACTTTTCTTCCATGAGTCACAGTTGCAATGCTCCAGGAAAGATATATAGTTTTGAAATGGAAATTGGTAATAAAATCATCAAATGTGCAAGGGTCACAATGTCTTCTGAGTCCAATCATGCTATAAAATAGTCTGCCAATATAAATATATAGGGTTTTTTTTTAAGTAGTGAGGACAGAGTAAGTGGTTTCTTTTAAATACTCTAAACTTAAAAATGAGAATAAATTCCAAATAAATTATTTGGGATATCACTCTTATTTTTTAAAATGTATGAATGTGATTTAAAGTTTATTCTATTACATAATTTTCTACAAAGTTTTACAAAATCCAATAGATACTCTTAGGTACACAGCCAGGGTAACTAGGTAACCAAAATCAAGTGTATAATTTTAATATCAACTGTGGATTCTTCTAGTCATTGGTGGACTTTATAGCACTATACAACTAAATTCCAAGAATTTTCATGAATCTCTGTCTTTCAATATATAGAACTAATATAGAAACACGCTTGCCATCTAACCCAAGTAGTTTAAATGATTTAACTGACTGTTCAAATTACTTGACTAACAGATCCATTAATGTATATAAAATTACACCTGAGCTAAGTTCTAAGAAAGAACCATGATGCTATGGGAAGTGAAGAATAGACACTCATGGGAAGCTTTCTGAAGACGTAAGTTGAAAGGAACACTGAAGAAACCATAACACATATGAGGAGGGAACCCCCCAAAATGGAATTTATTTATAAAAAGTGTGTATTTATTCTTACATGTTTAAACTTCAGTCACCTTCAAAGTGCTCTCCATTGAATGTAATATACCTATCAAGAAATTTCTTTCACTGCCCAAAACACTTTTTGAATTCATGGATTTTGATGCCTTTTAGTGCTTCTGCCATTTTTTGTTTCACCTCTTCCACCTTTTATATTCAAAGGGAGGTGACCAATAGCTAATCCCATTTTCTCTCCTGCTGTTCTGTAATATTTATCAATAATACTTACCATCATGGGCAAAATGTTTCTCTCTGAGGACTTTTTCATCCAGGAAAACAAACAAAAAAAAAAGTCTCTTGGGGAGAGATTGGGTGAATAGGGAGGGTGGGGCATGGGGGTCATGCCATTTTTGGTAAAAAGCTGAACAACACTCGGCATGATGTGGACAGGTGCACTCATAAATCACCCATCAAGAAATGGGCAAATGCACTGAGTGTTCAAAAAAATTCACTGAAGCCAAATGTAAACAGCCTCTCACAACAATACCAGCTGATACACTGATACAGATGGGTTCCTAGAACACTCATCTAGTGGGAAAGGTTGTACTACAAGAGGCCCGCCCTCCAGAAGATAATTCTGGAGTTTTGGGGGACCCCCTTCATAAGAGGAAGAACTTCAATGTGCCATG